TGCGGCAGGGGTGCAGCGCAGATGCCGCATGTATGGTATCAACATGAGATTGTGCTTAAAAAAAACAAGAGGTAAGTACGTTGGTGTCACGTTTGAGGGCAAACTCAGGGCACACTCACACTGCAACTCAAGATCTCAAAATACCCCCCCAAAAAGGGTTGAGGACCGCTCACACAGATTTGCCATAGTACCAAATGTACTGTTAGTGTGCCAATTTGTCAGGGGCCTGGCAAGCCGCGAGGCAAGGGAATTTGGGATCACCTCTGCGAATGCCAGAATAGGCAAAAATTCGTTCAAACCTGCTGGCAGCCGATACCTTGTCCCATAGTTCGGCAATGTGACCCTAACAATGCCCAAATCCCCAAATCGACCCTCCCCGAATTCACAAAATTTAGGATTTTGGGGTGGCAGTGTGAGTATGCCCTCACACTGGACCCTAAAACCACAAAGTATGCCGATTTGGGAAGTCAAAGCAGGATTTTGGAAGTGTGTGACTGGCTGATGACGGTTTCTTTTGTGATTTTGGGAATATGGGTCGCAGTGTGAGTACGCCTCGAGTATTGAATGAGCAAGAACGACAGGTGTCGGCAAAGAAAACGGAGCGGAGGGCACACTCACACTGTGGTATTAAATCTGCATAATCCCCCAAATCCCCAAAAAATAGTGTAGAGGGGCTGTCACACCCAGTTCCCATTTTCACACAGCAAGAACGAAAAAAAAAAATTGAAAACAAAACGGGCCGCGCCGGCCCGTGCCGTGACAACGACGGCCGAAAGCGAAAATGAAAAAAAAAAAAATGGAAACGAAACGACGGGCCGCGCCACGACTACGAAGACCAAAAAGAAAAAAATGAAAGCAAAACGACAAGCTGCCCACACCTTCGAAACAAACCGTGGGGGTGGGGAATTTGTGGTCGAGGTTACCACAAATTCCTTATTCTTTTTTTAATTAACTTTTAAAAATGATAGAAAATTCGTAAAAGAAGATATTGGTGAAATAGCAATTGGAAAAAAAAAAATAAAAAAAAATTGGGTGAGGGAAAAGGCTTTGAGCCGTGTGACTAGCTACCTTCGAAGATCCAGACAGGGTGAACTGCAACCACTCGAAGCTCCACATAAGGTGAGCTGCAACTACTTGGAAATGGGAGATTTGAGGACATGGTGAAATGTGGATTTGCTACTGCAGTGTGAGTGTGCCCTCAGTTCCACACCACCCTCAGTTAGAAAAGGCAACGGAAGTACAAACCCCGTTGTCGAGTGCATCGGTCCCAAAGGGTAACCCTTCCGGCCGCGTCATGCAGGGTTTTTGCGTGACTTTTATCGCAGTGAAGCGCTCCGACCGAGTGCGCCATTGCACCTCTCACGAACCCCTACGACATGATAGGGGTCACGCAAGGCACACCGTACCTCTGCCCAAGGGTTATCACCACCCTAGGACAAGCGTATCCCCACGGAGTTATCGCACCACGTGCGAAAGCTACTCAATTGCAATCGTAGAGTTGGCCCAGCCGAGGACGTTAATTGCACGCTGTAGCATAGGGGGTACGTACGGTCGGACGCCTTAATCGGACTTGTGCGCGAACCGACGCTCTGGGGGCGTATGTCCCAAGCGCGGTTCAGCGCCGATCGACTAGGACGGTCCATCTAACCACGTGATACACCTCGCTAAAATAAAACCAAGTTTCACATCTCAGCAGAAAGCGGGAATCTCAGCAATGCAAACATTCCAGCGGCAGAACTCAGAAAGCAGAGTAAAGATGAAAGAAGTGAACCTGGCATCGAGTTATTTTCCCGTAGAGCTTTCTCTACAGTATTGTCACCCGGTAGAGTTTTCAGTCTGTGATTTTGCAGGTCATTACGGAAAGGAGATAACTTTAAAATTTAGTGAAGAGTGAGATTTCTCGAGAAATGTTCTGAGTGGTTGCTAGGAAAGAGATGCTGTATCCATTGTTTGGTTCTTTTGGCATATAATAATTGAACTGGTGGAGAGAAATTGCATTCCTTCATTGTTGATTCAATTGTCTTGTTCAGGTCTGCCCTCGCTTCTTTTTCTCGATTCTTGTTTCTTTCTCCTGTTTCATGGTGGTAGTGCATTGGATTTTGTGAGTGAGATCGACGTGCCTTTTTTCATCAATGATTTTGCTTGAAGTATAGGAAAAAAGAGGAAAGTCGACTTTCTTTTTTTTTTTTTTTGTGGAAAGTCGACTTTCTAGTGTAGAGATACACTCAAGCAGTACTGTGCTTGCTGGCAAGAAAACAAGAGGCCGATTTCATTATCAACAGGTTCACGCGACTTGACCTTCCCAGCTCTTGGGAAACCTGAACCATACGAGCCATTTGCTGATAACCCAGAAATAGGATTGATCAGATTCAGACGACTGACATACTCAACGAACTCTAGCCAGTGGCGCTAATTATTATCAATCACGCTAGTGATTTGCCTCGAAGGGATTCAGGAAGAATCTCATAACCTGCCTTGGATGTGAACTGCCTATTAAGGAGAAGAGGGGCTTGAGGTAAGAACTGCTGGCAGCAGTCTGGCAATTGCAAGGGAGGAACTTATCATTCTTTGTATCCAGAATCCATGTCCCACTTAACCAGATGATTTGTTTCCAGCAGTAAATTGATATGCAGACCAATAGCGAGACACCGAGAGCTCAGTCATTATCGAGTTGGACAACACTGGAGGTGGTAGACCAGCGTTTCACCTGTTGAATGTGGTAAAGTGTTCTTCATTTGTTCAGCTTGATGGTTGTTGGCCTCCCTCCTGCTGTGTGTGAATATCAATATGTTCTACTGCTCGTGGTCTTAAGTTGTGGAAGCTCTTTCGCAAGTCAGACATTCGCTGCTTCCATAAGCTTTTGAAGTTGTCCGACCACAAATCATTGACTGTTCATGCCATTGTCACGTGTAACCACAGATATATAAATTCTTCATATGACCAACAGCAGCAGCACAAATCAGAGAGGCAAGAGGTCATGTTGACAGCCAATTGAAAGACTTAGTGTGCTTTCATCCACCGTTACCCTGCTCAGCTACCTCCATGAATGGGCCGTTTAACACAATGGCGCAGAAAGGCTTGAGATCCAAGAACACGAAGGCAGGCAGCACCCAGCAGGCCCTTGGCCATCCTGGGTTTGTATTTTAGCGGCGGGAAGATCAAGCATTGGGGCAAACAGGCTTGGTGGGCACTGGTGGTTTAGAGTCTTCTACGAGTCGATGTATCAACAGGAACCATCAACCATCAACCATCATAAGGCTGCCATCGTTTGCCCTGCTCAGCTACCTGCATGAATGGGCCGTTTAACACAATGGCGCAGAAAGGCTTGAGATACAAGAACAAGAAGGCAGGCAGCACCCAGCAGGCCCTTGGCCATCCTGGTTTGGTATTTTAGCGGCGGGAGGATCAAGTATTGGGGCAAACAGGCTTGGAGGGCACTGGTGGTTTAGAGTCTTCTACGAATCGATGTATCAACAGCAACCATCAACCATCATAAGGCTGCCATCCTTTGAGGGCTTGCAAACCGTCTGTGTGCCTCCAGAAAACTCCGTATCCGAACCTTAGTTCCGATTGCCAGGATTCCAAAATGGGCAGTGTTACGGGATCAATATGTGCCTTCAAGTTTTGGGTCAATGAGACTTCAACTGGCTTGTGTCCAGATCGCAAACTTCACCCGTTTTCATTCCATGGCCAGGACTGTGTTCGTTGGACACCTACATTCTTTGTGTCTACATGGCAGTCAGTGCACGGGGCTGGTAGTATGCCTCCACCGGATAAGCTTCTGGACTTGGACCCAGACAGTCTGAGTGGGTTCTGCATAGAGATGGCGCGTAGAACCTTTAGCGGACATGATGCGTCAGGACTCACTGTTGTGCTCGATGAGTTTCACGACAGAGACGGGCCACTGTGTTCAGAGGGTTGGAGTGCAATGGACACAAACAGAATGATTCCTGTGGGTCTGGTCATCTTGAACAAAATCTTTCTCCTTCACAAAACATACCTTCGGTGTTTCCGAACAATCTTCATTTGCACTGACCATAGACTCAACAAAATTGTTTCTGCTTGGTGCCAATCGAATGTGCTAGAAGCAGCTTGTCGCATCCTTGAAGATTCTGGAATTCCTATGAAGTCATTGTGGCTTCGAGATTGCGATAGGGAGACAACGCTTCTGCTTGTAGACCTGCTGAACTCCAGCCTGTCATTGTGTTGCTTACGAGTTGACTTGCTGAGTGTTGATGAGGAGAATGCAGGCAAACTTGCAGCTGCTGTGGCAATGAGTGGAATCTTAGACGTGTGTCGTTTTGATTTATTGTCTGGAGGAACGGGGCAGTCGATGTTTCTGACTGAAGTAGCAAACAGATTGATTGTTTCAAGTGACTTGAAACAGGATCCTGGACAAAGCACTCCCCTGACTGGTGAACACCGTGCGGAAACAGCATTACAGGGACAGAAAAATCAGGTTGAGGCAAGCGAACCCTCACTTCCGTCGAGGTCAGGGTATGGGAAGATCCCATTACAGAAGCTCTATTTGTCCTGGGATTTTGGTGAAGCAGTAGACCTTCAGTTTCTCCCAAAGTTTGTTCAAGCAGATACAACTCTGAGGGAACTCATGTTAGGTGTACAACAAAACTGGTCCATAGGAAACCTCCTAATGGCTCTGGAAGGACTCAAATGTGAGCAGTGCTTCGGAGTTGTTCTCTCCCAACCTCTCCATGACCATGATGAACTGCTGTTAGGTTAAAAATATATGATGGACTCGTAAGGTGGGTGGAATTTCTGATGCCTCATCAATGGTATATAAATGACATTTCAAAAATTATCGACTCGCTCAACCATAAACCAATTGAATACCTCGGTGTTCACTTTGGAGCTCAGTGTGGCCAAGTAATAGCCGATAGGCTTGCTGAATGGGCTACAACAAAGAGAACTCTGAGGACTTTAGTTTTGCCCACAAAGGAAGACATGTTCACATACTGCCTGTCAATGGTTCTGAAAGTGCTTGAATCCAAACATCGACTGGAACTCAGTATTTGTGAACCTCAGATTTCGGCTAATGATGGATTTGATAACCTGACATGTTTTATTTTACGCAGATCCAATCATACAGCTCCGTGGTCTATTCACATGAGAATGTCTCAGGAAGGGTTCATAAAGGACGTTTTAAGACTTTTGAAACTACTCGACTCCAATAATGGCTTTGACATCACGAGTCTCAAATTTCATTTGCTTCCGGCACGTAAGGTATTTCCGCCATTTCTGGACATAACGGTAAGACAAGCTCAGAAGCTTGCACACGTGATTGCGACAAACACATCTCTAAGGGAGCTGGTTGTAGACACACCACACTGGTCCAGGCCCGGACATGATCTAGTAATCATTTGCGAGGCGCTCAGAAAAAACAGGTGCTTGGAAACCTTCCGATGGATGCCCCATTCTCATTGGATCTTCCCGAGCCACAGTGAACGCATGATGTCAAATCATCTAACAACGATTATACTTGATATTCTTAATGCAAACACGGTTCTTAGGGTTCTTGATGTTCCTGTTCTACCGGTACAACAAAGCGTGATAGACCAGAAGCTGGTGAGGAACTGTTGGGAACGCTCTGTGCTGAAAGCGGCAGGCACGAAAGAATATACTTCAAGTCATCACATGAGATGCTTCTTGGCAGGTGATCCCTTGGTGGGCAAGACAACACTCAAGAATTCTATGTGTTTGAACAGATTGGAAAGAGTGATCAGCAAAGTATCAGGCTTGAGACAGTCTCCTCATGATTGTCGAACAAGAGGAATTGAGATGCGGCGTATGTATCAGAAAGGTATGAAGATCAAACTCCAGCTGTGGGACTTGGGAGGACAACACGAATACCATCATCCATGGCCTCGTCATGCCATCTCGTGGTAACGACATGTCAGTTCCACCCATGTTTGTGCTGGTTTGTAATCCTGTGAGTCCAAACATAGGGTGTGACCAGGGCTCACGTGTGTGACGACAAACCGATGAATTGAAGAGAAGCTTGGGGTATTGGCTCAAATTTATTGCCGCCAACTCCGTCTCACACTGTAAGCCTTCAGTGACTCTTGTCTTTAATCCTCATCATCCAACCCCAAAACTGTGCACTTTTGAGCATCAAGCTGCCGAGCTACGGAATTGGGCATGCTTGAGATTTCAAAATGTTTTGGACATCGAGGAGGAGGTTTTCATTATTGATGCACAGACGAGGGAAGACTCTAGAAAGGTGCGTGGTCACCTTTTCTGCCAAGCAGCTGAAATCTTGAAAAAATGCAAAGTCTTGCTCGTCATGGAACATGCTTGCCAGAAAAGGAGCCACTTGTTTCTAGGGAGGACTTCGACCGCATCTGCAATCAAGCTGCATTTTCTGCTTCAAAATCTTTGAAAGATCATCTGCCAGATGATTGCAAGGATCTGTCTTGTGACTCTGAGTCAATGGAACTCCATAGCAGACCCGGATCAGCACAAGCTGTTTTGAGCATGCGAACAGGGTTGGGCGACATTGCAGCTCGCTACCTTCATGACATTGGTGAGGTTATCTCCTACGAGCCACTGCCATTCGTGATTGTCAAGCCACAGTGGTTCTGCTGTAGAGTTGCCGGGCAGTTGATCCCAGCGGCTTTCCTCGAGTCAGGAGTTCGCAATGGTATTGCAAGCCTGACACTTCTGGAGAGCATATTGAGGAGCTCTCTCTCAGAGAAATGCCGTGTTCATGTGCAGGATTTGGTGAAACTATTGGTGAGGATGGAGCTTGGCTATGAGATAAATAACGGGCATGACGCGATGATACCAGCTTGCCTTCGGGACAGAAGGAATGATGGTGACATTAGGTGGGAGCTGCCTCGTCCAGAAGGGTATTGCTGTTTTGGTTTCCGCATCGAGTGTATGGATAAGAAGAGGACATTGTTGTCAACTGGTTTCTTCCATCGTTTGCAGGTACAGTGCTTTTTTGCCTCTCAGCTTCTTTGTGAGTCGTGGCGGTTGCATCCACGATTGCAATACTGCATGACCACCTCCCTCATTTCACATTTTTGCATGACAGAACCGAAGGTGTACACAAGGTCAAGTCCTGGACAGACTGCTAACACCTAACAGACAGCCCAGGTACTGTAGTGTTCTAGCATAGCCAGTTCTGATCGAAGCTGCTGTGAGCGAAACTAATCAAGATAGGAGTAGATCATGTGTACAGTTTGTGTAAATGCTGTTGCTACCGCTTGAACAGTAGCCCAGGTAACTTACCGAATATTATTTTATATTTTTATTTATTTTTCAACTCGGTCAGACATGCTGTGGTAGGGCCCAGTGAGGGCAGTAGTGCAGACAGTGCCTGCCTAGCTGATGAGTGGATCAGGCAGTGGTGAGTATAGATCTGTAGGAAGGAGGGTGACACGTCAGGAGTCCCTTAGGATTCCAATAGTGCACCAAGCTTTACCCCCTGAGGGAGAGAGGGTTTTGCGACAGGAAGCAGCAGCTGAACACTTGCAGAGGGCTAGGGAAGCGGCAGCAGCAGCTGAGCAAACGCTAGCAGCGGTAACAGCCAGTGCAGCAGCTATGGCTACTTCTGCTGCTACCTCAGCCGCTACATCTCGTCAGATGAGCGTAGGCATGCCGCAGAATTCGCAGGCCACATCCAGCACAGTTGCAACAAGCAGTTCTTCCAGTCAGATGGCGGGCTCACAGTACAACTCAACACCTCCACGCACTAGAGAAGCCATTGAACTCAGGAAGTGGAGTTGATCCACTTACGGTTAGAGAAGGAACTGAAAGAGAAAATGAGATTAGAACTAGGAAAGCTAGACTAGAGAATAGGAAGGCAGGCAAAGCTCCTGTAGAAGGGTTGGATGATGCTGTCATTGACGACAACACGAAAATTCTCAAGGCAGGTCTTTTGTCCATGCATGCATACATGGACAGCAAACTGGATGCTATCCAGAACACCCTTGACCAGATATTGAGCACCATGCAAGGAATGGGAAGAGCTTTCCCATCTCCAATAGGTGGGCCCAGTTTCCGGCCTCCAGTTTTCCCATTGCCGGTTTCCTCATCGGTGATGACTAGTCCTACTATGTCTCAGTTTAACAGTTCACCAAGTGGTACGTCAGCAGCAGCAGCACAGACTGTTGCTTCTTCATCTTCTAGTTCAGCGGCTGGTGCTACACAATAGTCGGTCCCACCAGTGGGACAACAGCAGCCTTGGTACCCAAAAACTCCCGTGAAACCACCCTCAACCTTCTCAGGTGATAAGACGGATGAGGCTCTCAACACTTGGTTGAGAACGGTGCTAGTGTGGGCAGGGCAAAGAGGACGATGATAGAGGAAGAGGTGATTACTTTCGCCTCGTATCTGGAGGGTTCGGCTGTGCGATGGCTAGATGGATTAGTAGCCTCGAAAGGGTTCGGCAGGCACATGAATGATTGGGCTAAGACCCATACTCTTGAAAGCTTAGTGGAACTGGCGGAAACACGATGGCACACCCCGCAACAGGCCCAGCAGACCACTAACGCGTTGACCCGGCTTGATATTAAGAAGTACAAATCCTCGCGTGAGCTTACCTATGTCGTAAAACGTCTCATTGTCATCCCCGGCGTGCGCTATGATCCGCAGGTCCTCATAACCATGTATCTGAGATGTCTTCCCACAGGCATCAAGAACCTGCTGGTCAGTGAGACCAGCATCGAATATCACACTCTGGACTCCTTTAGCAAGAAGGCCCTAGACTTAGAGGCTAAGCTAGGAGGAGCCCAACAAACCCCTACAGGCGGAAGAAAGAAGAAGCGTCCACAAGAGTGGAAAAAGAAAGGTAGTCGATTGATGACGGTTGATTCCGAAGGGAATCAAACTGAGATCGATGATTACCCCGATTTAGTGGATGAAACAAAGTTTGAGGACGAGGATAGTGTTGAGGGTAGCAACCTTGCCTCGCTTGCAAAGGTTAAGGCAGGCGGCCACGACAAGGGCAGTCAATCAAAGAGTCAGGGGAAGACCCAAAACTCAAACAAAGTACCAACTTGGGTGAGGGCGGGTCTGGAACAAGATATGTGGCGAGACCACTATTCGCGAGGGTCTTGCATCAATTGCGACGAGTAGAAGTTTAGATGCAAGAATGCGAAGGTATCGCAAAAGATACCTCCCAAAGGTGGATTTGGAAACTCTTTTTTCCATAGTGGGGCTTCTATGAGCTCCAACTCGGGAACTCATCGGGTCAGTAAAAGTTATAGTTGCTTCTTCTCCTGATGAGGTGGGTGATGTACCCTCCCCACTTCAAGAGTCGGGCGAAGCTATTGACTCGTTAGTCGCCCCGCAAACACATCCAGACCCAACGATAGAAGCCTTAGAGGACTTGCAAAGTGAGTGGCTGGCAAGGGACCCTCGTGAGTCTTGGGTGACTCTAAGTAGAGGTCCTAGAGGGGAGCACTTCGTTGTGGAAGTCGGTGTAGGTGGCCGCAAATGTGGTGCTTTCGTAGACATTGGCTCCACACAAAATTTCATAAGTCGCGACTGCATTGAGAGACAACGCCTAGGGGACCAGGTGCAACGTTGAGGTAGATCTGTAGCCTCTACCTTAGCCAACAAAGAGCACATCGTTGTTGATGACTTCGTCAAGGATGTAGTCTGCACCTTCTACTATGGAGGTGGGGGACTGAATCATAAGATTTTTTTCCTAGTCAGCGACGACTTGCCTTTTGACATGTTGCTGGGTATGTACTACCTCTTGCCAGGCCCAAGTTTGACAGGGACCGAAAGGTACTTAAGCATGTACTACCGGAAGGGAGTATAGTTAGACTTGCAAAGTATAAGGCTAGCAGTCTGATAGACACTTACGGTTGTATGTGTACAATAACCTTTTATAATTATTATAAACAGAACCAAGAGGAGGGTATGTACTTAGAGTCTCTGAGAAAGGGGAGGTCGTTAAGACACCCCAGAGATAGAAAATGTCGTCGCAAAGTACCCTGATTTGTTTGAGGAGCCTTCAGGAGTTGTAGAATGGGAGGTTGTCCATGCCATGGAGATAGTTCCGGGGAGCACGATACCCAAAGGAAGGATGTATAGGATGGCACCGACCGAGTTAGATGAACTTAGGCGACAACTGAAAAAGCTTACAGAGAAGGGTTGAATACCGCCTAGCACCTCTCCCTTCGGCTCACCAGTCCTATTTGTCCCAAAGAAGGGGGGGACACTGAGAATGTGCATTGATTATAGAGGCCTCAATGCCATCACTCTGAAGAACGCAGAGCCTCTACCGTGCATCGATGACCTTCTGGATATGGTGCAGGGATGTAAGCATTTTACTAAGATAGACTTAAAGTCCGACTACCATCAAATTGCCATTAGACCAGAGGACCAGCACAAACCGCATTTCAGACCAGGTACGGTGTATACGAGTTTGTGGTGTTGGGCTTTGGCCTTTGCAATGCGTCGGGTACATTCCAGCACGCCATGAATAGGATATTCCATGACTACTTAGATAAGTTTATCGTCGTGTACCTCGACGACATACTTATTTTTAGTAGAACAGTCGAGGAGCATGTTCAACATTTAGAAACTGTACTTCTTATCGTCGTGTACCTCGACGGCATACTTACTTTTAGTAGAACAGTCGAGGAGCATATTAAATATTTAGAAATTGTACTTTCCACGCCTGCGACAACACATTGTCAAGTAAGAGATTAACGTAGAGAAATGTGAGTTCGGCCGCACCAAAATTTTGTACTTGGGTCATGAGATATCCGCGGATGGGATAAGGCCTGAAGATGCCAAGGTGGCTAGCATTCGCGAGTGGCCACGACCTCAGTCTGTGACCGAGGTCATATCTTTCTTAGGGATGTGTGACTATTACCGCAACTTTGTAAAGAACTATAGTACGGTGACCAACCCTTTTACTGATCTAACTCGCCTTGACACACCATGGGAATGGAATGGCGAGTGTGAAGCTGCTTCAAGCGATTGAAGCATGCTCTCATGCACCATGAGGTTCTCATCGTTCATGACTCTAAGAAGCCATTCGTTGTGACCACTGACGCAAGCCAATATGGCATTGGCGCAGTGCTGACTCAGCAGGAAGGGAAGAAGTCGAGGTCGGTTGAATACACGAGTAAAAAGATGCCATCCAAGAAGTTGGCGAAGTCCACCTATGAAAGGGAACTCTACGCCCTCTACAAGGCACTTGTCCACTGGAGACACTATCTGTTGGGAAGGTTCTTCTAGTTGAGAACTGACCATCAGACACTCAAGTGGATCAAGACAACCTGTTCTCTTTGATGCACTCAAACGTTGGATTGAGGTCATAGATCAGTGATTCAGTATGACTTCAAGCTAGACTATGTGAAGGGAGAATACAACAAGGTTGCTGTTGCGCTGTCACGTAGGGCAGACTACCTAGGTGCACTAATAATTGAGTTTGGCTTATCTGATGATGTAACTCGATCAATGGTGGAAGCCTACAAGGAAGATCCTGTCACGATGGACATCATACACAAACTTGAGGCCCAAGACAAGGCCACATCTGACAAGTTTTCGAAGCCCGTTTGGAAGCAGGTGTCGTCTTCACATCTCATGCCCACCATTTCGTTGCACCTGGTGGGCTGGCAGCTCGGATTTTCGAGGCCCACCAGGCCTTCGCCCCAAGGCTCTACCGGCCCTCTGCCGAAGTTTGCTGGTCACGAGGGTATCCATGAAATCCATGGAAACACTGTGTTCCGGACCAGCAGGAATGGGTAGGGGCTTGAGTAACCCAAGCGGAGCTTGAGTCCGCGACTTGTCCCGCTGGCAGAATTGACAAGTCTGAACGTACTGCTTGGCTTCATCTAACATACCAGGCCACCAAAATCGTTGTACCAGATTTGCACTAGTCTTCTTATAGCCAAAATGTCCCATTGCATCATGACATTCTCCTAAAAATAAACTACGCAAATTTAAATCTCACTAGCTGGAACTACCACCAGTTCACGCCCCTGCACTGTCCCTGCTATTGCAGTAAACTGCACACGAGCCTCGTCATAGTTGATAGGTTTACTAAGTTTGCTAGACTGATTGCCATGCTAGAGACCTCAAGGACTGAGCACGTCATCAAGTTATTCATGGATAACTGGGTGCATGACTTTGGACTGCCAAAGACTATCGTCAGTGACAGAGATGTCCATTTCACAAGTGAGATGTGGAAGAAGGCTGCAGAACAGATGAGTAGCCAACTTCAGATGACTTCTGGGAATCATCCCGAAGCCAACGGGCAAGCTGAACAAATGAAACGATTGGTGCAGCATCTGCTGAGGCACTACATTAAGCCCAACCAAGACGACAGGGATGAGAAGTTACCTCTCATCGCCAGCCTGTACAACAATGTTGTGCACAGAACCACCGACGTCAGTCCGAATCAGCTGCACATGGGGTGGAAGCCTATATCTGCTTTAGACTTCCTCCTGCCTGAAAACCGATCTGCTGCAATTCCCGGAACAATTGAATTTGGTGTCCAGTATCAGAAGTTGCTGCAGCAAGCTGTCGAGCACATCAAGAAATCTCAAGAAGCAAAAATTGCTTCTAAGAACAAACATCGACGACAGTCCACATTTCATGTAGGGAAACGTGTCTGGGTTAAGTCTTGTGAGTAAGGACAGGAATTCGGCATCTCTAGGAAACTAATGCCTCAATACAGTAACTTCGGTCCTTGGGAAGTTTTAGATATTGTGGGTAGTGACGAGGATGGTCCCTCGTATGTAATTTGAATCCCTGGTCACTTGCTACCCGGTGGTTCACGCCTCAAAGCTTGCACCTTTCGCTGAGACACAACAGTTCCCATCAAGGAGATCTATTCTGCCCCCAACCATGGATGGCCACATGGACATTGACGACATTTTGGAGCATAGAGATATGCCTGTTCCTAAGCCTGTGGGCAGAGGGAGACCGCCGAAACCCAAGAGGGAATAGAGGGTCAGATTCAGGCATCATACGGATCGAAAAGAAGACTGATGGTTCACCAGAGAGGGACTCATTGAGACAGCACCTCAGATTGTGGCAGACTACGAGAGACGGTTGAAGGGGAAGACACCTGCATAGAGGCATCTCAGCGGACTTTCGAAGCTAAGGGGGATGGAATGTGAGGACTCTATCCTCAGGGGGCCCTAAGCAACATGCATATGTTCTGGAATGTGGACCCCCAGGTCCGCCCTAAGTGAAGGCGGGCCTGAATATTCACGAGAGGCCCTTATCTCAGCATTTCCCAATGCGGGCATTGTGAGGCCGACACATCACAAAGTGGCCACGGGTCAACGAGAAAGCAGCATTGTCGTCGTATCTACCCTGGCCAGTGGGTCGGTGCAAATGCAGCACACATTCGAAGCCTGGAAAATGCTGGGTGTGCCCAACCGAAAAGGGCCCAGGCCCTTAACTGTCGAGATGCGCCTGGGCGCAGACACTGGGGCCCGACTAGAAGCTGCTGGAAACTTACCGGCGAGGCCCAGGGAGTCCAGCAGCAGCTGCCACTTCCATATAGTAAGCAAGCCAGCCAGGGAAGGGCATTCTGGCCTAGGCAGGCAATGCGGACACGCTGCTGCGCCCGCATGCAAGTGTCTGCATTGCGCATCTACTGGCTGGGGGCGCGCGCGGACGCTTAGAGGTGAGATGCACTACTGGGCAGCGGGGCGCTAGCGGCCATAGCCGGGCTGCAGGGCGCGAGGGCAGAGGAGGGCGACAGAGGTCTTCGGGAGGAGGCTCAGAAGTGGGTGGACAGGGGGTGATGAGGGAGACGAGAGTACGTACCTGGTGTATGTGGGAGGTCGGCATTGGTGTTGACGACATGTACATTGGTCTTCAAAGTCAAAGTGAGCTTGTTGCATGAACGTAGGTAGGCTAGGTAGGATAAGTGGAGTAGGCTGGGCTCTGGGCACCAGACAGAGAGGAGTGACATTGAGTACTGCGTTGGTGTGGCCTGAGCGCTTGAACATTGGCTCACGAGTTCATTGTATTGATGGAATCTTGGTGCATTTGAGCTCTCTGCTTGTTACATGACTATCTTGGCTTCTGCGTGATTTTGCAACTTGGTTTTCTGTATATCGCACTCGCTCATATTCCTTGCACAAAACACCAGCAGCTAAAGCTAGGAGTGGTTATAAGAGCATCCACTCCTAGCTGTATCTCTAGTAACTCCAATCTATTGGCGGGGAGTAGCACCTGCTGGAAAACGGTCCAGCATCCCTAGAACATGACAAATTCTGCGATGATCTTTTACCAGAATCTATGACATTCACAAAGCAGTGTGATACTGATTCTTTTATCTCAAGGCACACACTTGGCATAACAGGGAATCGTCTATTCTGAAACTTGCTTTCATTGTCTGGTCAGGAAAATGCCTGCTGCTTTGTTACAGAGTGAATATAAGGCACTGTTCTCAACTCAGCAGAACCTAGTTTTATGAATGAACTAATACTGCAGTCAATCGTGTCCATGCTACTACTTCATGCACTGTTAGTTTATGTCGTTTTGATGCTCATGCCATGATTTCTTGTGGAGCTTACTGCTAGTTCCTCACCTTTTGTTCGGTGAATTTTCTCCAGGTACGACTGCATGAGAAGCTCAAAGACCAAGGAGAGTATAACATTGAGAGAGACCTGAGCCACATCATTGTTAATGGACTTGGAATCGAGGTTTTTGTGGAGTTCTCCAACCCTCCTGACGATTGGATTGACGCTCTCGTACGATGCGAGGATTGCACAAGTGATGCCAGCAAAGTTTGGGTGGAACAACACATCCTACAGGTGGTGACCCGACTGTGTGCAAAGCCTATCGGTTTACCTGGTGTTCAGCTGGTGATCCAAATTGTCCGTCCGCAGTGTGTGGAACAGCTTGTCCCTTGCAAATGCCGTCTGAATTCACAGGTCGTCGACGAGGCCAAAATTTTGGATGGGATCAATCAGTGGGGGATCGAGTCTAATTACTGCTGGCCTAAGCTTGACCCCAGCCAGAATTGCAGAGGCCTGCCCAGGTCTGAGAGTTATGGACTGGAGCTGCTAAGGCCATCAACACTCAGGGACAGTGTGATCCAGGAGGGGCAACAGCTCATACAAGTGCATAATGATTTTGAACTAGGCCGAATTGGGAGCGATAGTTGGGCATCAGGTGCACAACATGCAGAAGCTCACTGTTCAGCACATGGCCACCTCTGCTGCGATGACGAGGTAGTAGTGGAAGGACTGACTGGTCCATTTCAGAGAATGTTGGAGATCATTCTGGCCAGAGTTGACAGGGTTCACACGGATGTGAGGAGGATCGGTCATGACATGAATGATTTGAAGGGCGCAATGAAAGAGCTGATGAGAGTTCAGAAAGAGATTTTCCCCAGCATTAGCAGGAAGCTGACGGATCTGTCATGTCTGGTTATGAAGAAACACAAGCATCGACTGCCCCATCTTCTCTACTTTACGGAAAAGGACGGGGTGAAAGCAAAACTTGCAACCTGGTTTGGCCACCCTCTAGGTGTCCGTCCGCTTCAACTTCACTTGATGTGTGAATCTCGGAGCCAGGTACATTTCGTGGATGGCCAACCTGGCAAAAAGGTGTGGATTCAGGAGGAGGAGAAACCTGGGGTTTGGGTGCTGCTAAGAGCAACTCTGCTGGTGATGACAGCTTTGCTGATTGCTGGATGTGGAACAATGGCAGGAGTTCATTGTGTGGCGCCTGATCTAACAAGCCTCAGCGGCGACTGCTCACCTCTCATCGCAGCACGGGTGGCTGGAAGTGTGGCAGTTGGAGCATGCATGGCTGACAAAGAAATTAAAGATCTAAAAGAAAGTTTGATCAAGGATTTCGAGGAACATTGGAAAAAAGGTAAAAGAATGTTCGAGGATGGTCCAGAAGATGATATCAACAGGGCTGAGGCATTTGCATGGCTGGAAAGAACTCTTGTGGGTGGGAACGTTGACATCAGAGAGAAATTCCAGTTATCAAGAGTCAGTTACAAGGACACATCCTCAATTGCATGGATTTGTGATGACTGTTTAGTCAGGGAACATGGTAAATTGGAGATGTTCACATAAGCATGGTGAACAGCATTCGCTTGCATTAGTGCTTCGAGAATCATAATGGATAGTTCCGGCGGTTCCAAAATACTGATGTTCCTGTACGTTTAGTCAATTAGTCTTTTTTTATGCATGAAGCCAATAAGGTAGTGTCGCAGAGATCTAGAGGTCTCACAAGTCAGCCAATAAGTAAGGGCTGACAGATGGCCCAAGTTCTTAGAACGCTTTCCAACAAACATGATTTCCTGTGAACAGCACCAACAGGCGTCTGGAGAACTTTTGTACCCGCAAATGGGGGCTGCATTGCTGCGGCGCGTGGCAATGTGTGATGGTGTCAGGCCCAGGCACTGATCCTTAGCCAATCAAGCACAGCTTCTGCTGATAACAGTTTGTCTCCTCGCTAGCTGCTAAGGACGGTTGTTTTCTCGGTTGTGCTCCATATCAGACTTTATTTATGAGTCCGTAGTGATTCCCTTTTTGGTTTATCTGGTGGTGCGGGTGTTATCGACTACGCCAGGGCTCAATCCCTGGTCTGCGGGTTACCACCTGCCAGCTTGCTGCATTTTTTTCTTTTTTTGTGTTTTACGATTCTTTTGTTTTATTTTACCTTGTTTTTGCTTTTCTGATTTCGGACAGTTGGCGCCATCTGCATTCTGGTGCCCGTTTTCAAAATTCCTTCTTTTTGGGCTTACCAATTTCGGACACTTGGCGCCATGCGGCATTCTGGCGCCCACTCTCAGACTTTCGAGTTTCAGTTCTGGCCCTGAGGCATTTTCACTTTTGCCCTCAGGACCGGACTTGAGTTCCGTACTTAAGTACGGTCTCAAGCACAGTACGGCAACCAGTTTAGCCTCAGTGTTTCCGGTCAGTGTGACTTTGCTTCGACATTGTGTTCGGGAATTCAAGACTGCGACTTTGCGACTCTGCCACTTGGTGTCTGCGTCCAGCGAGTCGTGTCCAGTCTGCTTCGAGTTGAGTGAACGTGTGTGTGTGCTCTCACTCTCCCTTTCTCTCCCAGCCTCGCTGCTCTGCCTCTGCCTCGTCACACTGTATCGGAGGGCGATCATCACACTGTATCGGAGCGGCGTTGATCGCCCTCCCGCCCGCCCTGATCAACGCGGAGCAGCCTCGTCATCATTGTCTTCGTCGTAGACACTGCCGCGTCATCATCGCCACGTCTTAATCGTCGACATTGCCACGTCATCATCGTTGCTGCCACATCATCAACGATCCTGGATCGCCAACGCGGAGCAGCCTCGTCATCATTGTCTTCGTCGTAGACACTGCC